GTGTATTACCCGTGGGTCGTTAAACCAATTCCTTAAAATTAATGTCTTACCCAAGGATCATTAAACCAGTTCGAATAAATTAGTGTTTTACCCAAGGGTCATTAAACCAGTTCGAATAAATTAGTGTTTTACCCAGGGGTCATTAAACCAGTTCGAATAAATTACTGTTTTACCCAGGGGTCATTAAACCAGTTCGAATAAATTACTGTTTTACCCAGGGGTCATTAAACCAGTTCGAATAAATTACAGTTTTACCCAAGGGTCATTAAACAAGTTTGAATAAATTACTGTTTTAAACAGGGATCATTAAACCAGTTCGAATAAATTACTGTTTTACCCTAGGGTCATTAAACCAGTTTGAATAAATTAGTATTTTACCCAAGGGTCTTTAAACCAGTTCGAATAAATTACTGTTTTACCCAAGGGTCATTAAACCAGTTCGAATAAATTACTGTTTTACCCAAGGGTCATTAAACCAGTTCGAATAAATTAGTGTTTTGCCCAAAGGTCATTAAACCAGTTCGAATAAATTACTGTTTTTACCCAGGGGTCGTTAGTCGAGATTCCAACATTACTGCAGACGGGTCGGTCCGTAACTGCTAAGTAAAACGGCGTAATGCAGTTGTCAGACGTGCCAATACTAACGGTATTGCACTAGAACTGCCGCTCACTTTTGGAGCAAACTAATAATACTGAAATCGGCATTGCACACACCCCCCCCCCCTCCCCAATGCTCATCATTCTACGTGTAATCGCCCATCCGCCATTTTATTGCAGTCAACAACACGCAGTGGGGAAATATATATATATATATAATTCCACATGGAATCCACAGCTCTTGTGTCGTATTAAGTAACTCAGCTCTGTGTTTGGGCGACGAAAATTTGAGATTCTAGGTCCAGAAATGAGGAAATTTGTATAAGGAATCCTATTTGGAAACAAGTAACTTTTCAGAGCGTCAACTATCGTCCACTCTGCATGAAAATCAGGATGGCTGTGGTCGATCTGATATCCAGCAAGCAACTAAACACCACAAACTACATATAGGAGCTCAACGAAGGGACTGGAAAGGATTTGAATACATAGAATGTTTTCACTATAGTCTTTGTCAACGAACATAAGCCAACAATCCAACACATTAAACAGATCTACATAAAGCTGAAATGGGAAAACTGAGAGGACAATCGGACAATAAAGAACTATTGCTAAACGATACGTCAAAGTAGGAGCGAGAAAAGAAGGGAATACATTTTGCTTGAAGAAAACTGACTCACTATAATTTTAAGAACACTGACGCATTCCATTGTTTCAGGAATACCAGTCCACTCTATTTGTGTAAGCATAACAATCTACTGTTTTGAACCTAAAGAAAGTTCATACAATCGTGTCAGCGTTACTATCTGTCAGTCTAGTAGGTATTTCGTAGATGATATTTGCTCTGTCCATGCATCTTCCTGCTTGCAGTGGGGCAATACTTTCCAGCTGCTGCGTGCAAGTTTATGACCCTTTTTTCCGACATGCCCAGTAGATCCAGGTGAGGGAGATTAAGTGTGACTTCAGAACACTGACCACCCATTCAGACCGCAAGTTGCCTGCTGCTATTTTCTAGCGCATGCTCATGGAGTCTGGTATAATCCTCGCGTGTGTGGCTGTCCGTCCGTTCTCCTGCCCATGCATTACTGAAATGAAAGTAGGCAAGAATGAGCATATTCAAAGTGACATTTGTAATGCACTTACCATCATTTGTGATCCAGTTGAGATGATCAAATCCCTGAAAGAGGTGACAAGTGACAATAGACGTGGACGGGTACATGTGGCGCCGGACCGACTTCCTGTCATAGTCACCGTATGAACATATCACAAACGGCATGGCACCATTCTTGTAGAGGTAGTTTTCAAAAGGTTTCTGGGTAATCAAAGAAACAAATCATTTTCTTTTTAAAATTTATGTATTGCTTGCAGAAAAACGCAAATAACTTATTCCTCTTCTTCAACATTCCCAGCCTTTGAGGTTCATTGCTGCAGATATCACCAGGAGGCTTAGATATCTGTTGCGTGACGAGATGAAGTTTTACGAAGGTGGGGGTGTCGGCCCCGCGCTTCAACCCCAACATGGAGGTCCAGTGTGTCTCTCTGTGTCTGCTTTCTACTCTTCGACTTTTCCGGCTTGAGAGGCCCTGCTGATAGCTAGGCTTATTGCCGGCATAGCTCTCAGGGTCTATATAAATAAATAACTTCAGTACTATTTATTGTATTAAATACTGCGAACATACTGCACAAGATCAGTAAATAACGTATAGCAATACAATCATGAGAGTAGGTATCTTTTCTATGGAAACAAACGGATGTGAGTCATTGACTATTTCCCATTATCTAGAAGTTAATTTGAGTTAGGAAACCGAGATTACAAAACTCAAGAGATTTCAACACACGCGTTGTCCCCATATTTAGCAGACGGATTGTTTGTCCGTGTTGACTTTCTCCCAAGTGTCAACCAGGTCCCCTGGGCACTCACAGCTGCTCCATTCTCTCCAAACTGTGATGATATGTGTTTTTTTTTTTTCTGCCGCCACTGTTATCTCGCTTAAAAAATTCCATGCTCGTATCTAGCACAATAACTAGAAAAGAAAATAACAGATTTTGAACATTTAATGGTAAATGAACATTCTTAAAATATTATCGATCTAGTTAGTTAATTGCAGCACCAACCCAGCATTGTTTTTGGCTGTTGTGGGTTTTTTCTTGACAAATTACGTTCAGTAGTTTACCATTGCTATTGAACGGTCGAATCTCGATACCACTGCGACAAGGTCTGCTGCCATAGCGTCCGCAGCTGGGATCAAACATGGCACCCCAACATTACCATCGATCCACTAGAGGCGAACTTCATGTTTATATGTATAAATGTTTTAGATAATTAACAAAATGGTAAATACACGAGTTAGGGTAAAATTGGTTGAAAGTGTCCTCAACAAAACTAGACAAGTGCTGAGGTATTAAACGCCGAGTTAACAAAAGCTTCAGATGTCTCGCGGTGTTTCGTAAAAACTACAAATAAAAGACAAATTGAAAACATAGAGTATTGCCATAGATTTGGAAAAGATTTTTAAAAAGCCATTTATGGGAAAATGAAAAATGGGTATTTCAAAGAAACATACACACGGAGAGCTTGCAAAGTTGAGCAACCAATAATATTAAATAATACTATAACCTAAAAACTGAAGGCACAGACAATATATTGCACACTTTATTGCCCTGAATATTTCGCTGTCTCTTGTCAGATGCGTTACCACAGAGCTGACATCAACATATAAAGAAACTTGAATAAAGAAGACACAAACAATAGATTGCACACTTTATTGCCTGGCGTATTTCGCTGTACCTCATGAGGTGCATACTACAATTGATTACTATGAAGCAAATGAATGAACCCTTTAAAATGAAACATAAAATATCGGCTATGTTTAAAAACTATTTCAACAGGGTAGACACAAGGTGAAGAGCATGTTCTTTTGTCTGCATAATGCTGGACTAAACCGGTTTATAGCGGTCGCTTCCACAAATCTCAAAAATCTCCTGTTGACCGAAATGCATCTTCCTAGCTTACGATGTGCACGTAATTCAAAATATGGCACGCAGTGGCTTATGGGTTTCCTCCGAGCAGCCACCTGATTCGTTGTTGTTAGTGTTTTGCATTGCTTTTACCACCCGTAGTGGAATATGTTCAGCAACCCGTTTCTCCAGTCGTCGATCAGTTCTGCCCACATATGCAGCATTACAGATACATTTAAAGGAAAAAAACTAAAAGTGAATCCATTATAAATAACAAACTCCTTCTGTTACGCATTATATCTTACCAACGGAAAACAAATAGTAACAAGTAATCACCACGGACGATGTAAAATTGATGTAAAAAAACAAGAAAAATAAAGGACCTTGTTCCACGCCTTTAGATGTATTGGCATATAGGGCTAGACCTATATTTTTTAAAACCATTCGGTACTTTCTGGGTGATGTGGTCAGCATCATACCGGCCGCATTTACTTCCCAGGACTGTAACTGGTTACCATTTAGGGCTCAGTCGATCTGGGAGCCAAGGTCCATCAGGATTAACCCCCAACCTTCCGATCCACAGGCAAGCGTCTAGCCGCCACATGTAAAATAATTAACACCAAATTCACCGAAACATCAGTTCGATACTTGTGTGTATTCTTGTTTATAAATGTAACATTGTCTATTCATGGCATGTGCTGATAAAGGCTTCCTGGCAACAACGTTCCCTTTTCTTTTGTAATTGTGATAATGTCAAGTTGACTAGTTCTGCATTTCTTTTCTAATTGTGATAATGTGAAGTTGAATGATTCTACTTTTCTTTTGTTCTTCTTCTTCTTCTTCTTCACTTCCTCTTTTACCGCTGTGGGTGTCGAGGGAGATATAAGGTTCTGTTTCTAGCTCTTCTGGCTGCCTCGACCATAGGTTTCTCTGATGTTATCCTTCCATCTTGTTCTTGGTCTACCCAGTGCTCTATGTCCTTCGTCTCTTTCCATGTATGCTTTGTATGGTATTGTGTCACAAGGCATTCTCTCTAAGTGGGCAAACCATTTCACTTGCTGTCTTTGTATGTAATCCAGAATTGGTTATGTGCCGACTTGTTCTCTTATGATCTCATTCCTGATCTTATCTCTTATGGTCACTCCTACAGCCCTTCTCAGACATCTCATTTCCGTGGTTACTAATTTTCTTTTATGGTTTGTTGTGAGTGACCGTGTCTGGCACTGGTAGCACAGAGTTGGAATAAATATGCTTTGAATAAGATGTCTCTTTGTGCTGATTGGGATTGTCTTATGCTGTAAGAGGGCTAGCTGTCCCAATACTTGGTTTGCTTTACTGTATCTAATGTCAATTTGTTTATCCAATTTCCTATCTTCGGTAAATGTAGTTCCCAGATATTTAAACTCAGATGCCTGTTTAATGCCTTTGTATTTTATTGCTATGTTTAGATCTGTCTTCTTTTTTCCTATTGACATTACTTCTGTCTTTTCAGTGTTGATTCTCATATTATTTGTTTTACATTCTTCATTCATGGATGTTAGATGTTGTTGCAATTTCATGGCTGTATCTGCTATCAAGGCCTGGTCATCTGCAAAGAGTAATTCGTTGATCTTACTAAGATCTTCATTCATGGGCTTGGCATTCTTGCATATACTGTCGATGTAGGTGATACACAGCCGTGGTGATAAGACACACCCCTGTCTTACTCCAGATGTCGCTGTGAAAGGATGAGATGTTCCCTGATTTATTCTGAATACACTTCTACAATCCCTGTATAAACTTTTGCACACTTCGATGAGGTGTTCGCTTACTCCATATCTTGCCATTATTTTCCATAATAATTGTCTGTCGACTCTGTCAAATGCCTTCTCCTGGTCTACCAATGCCACAAATAAGTTCTTATTGTATTCAATGTTCTTTTCTATTAACTGTTTAAGTGTGAATATTGCATCTGTGCAGCTTCTATTTCTCCTATATCCCATCTGTTCTTCTGCCAGCTGTGGTTCTATCACTGGTCTCAGTCTTGTTTCTATTATCTTAGCATACATTTTGCCAACATGGCTTAAAAGAGAGATGCCTCGATATTGACCGCATTCTCGTTTGCTTCCTTTGTTCTTCCACAATGGTATAACTATTGCATGTTTCCAATCAATAGGGGCCGTTTGTTGTACCCATGCTGCATTGAATATTCTGTGAAGCCATCTGATGCTGCTACTTTTCTTTTCTAATTGTGATAATGTGAAGTTGACTAGTTCTTCCTTTCCTGTCTAATTGTGATACTGTGAGGTTGACTGATTCTACTTTTCTTTTGTAATTGTGATAATGTGAAGTTGACTAGTTCTGTATTTCGTTTCTAATTGTGATAATGTGAAGTTGACTGATTCTAATTTTCTTTTGTAATTGTGATAATGTGAAGTTGACTAGTTCTGTATTTCGTTTCTAATTGTGATAATGTGAAGTTGACCGGTTCTATTTTCTTTCGGTTTGTTACCTTTTCATGATACTGACGAGTTTGTGTACGTCTTCTCAAAAGCGTGACATAAAGATACGCAATTCAAAACGCTGGGGCAGTTTTCTATACTATTGTTTCATTTATGTGACAAAGACCGACAACTTGCATAGTATTATTAGTTTTAAAAAAAAAGTAAAGTTTCCTTTTCACGCCTTTCGGCGCATCGGGCATATGGGCAGAACGTCCCATATTTTTTACAGACCATCAGCACTCTGTGGGTAATGTGGTCAGCATTACGCCGGCTGTCTTTACTTTCTCAGGACAGCCCATCCTGGTACCCATTTTAGGCTGGGTCGACCTGCGATGTCCCATACCACGACAAAAATCCTGCAGTGGGTTTCGATCGCGGTATGCTGGCTTACGAGTCGGACTCGCAACGCCTTAGCCACGGACGCCGATATAGTATTATTAGAGTATAGCATAATTAATTGTTTACACGAGAAACATTAATTAAGGCAACTAATCACCTGGAACGTTTCAAAGAACTCCCGCTTGTCCTTGCCTCTGTGAAGTTCTATCTCCGACAGCAGGAAGGTGCTAAACACTGGAAACATCAAACACATAATCAGTAATTATTATTTCAGGGAGACCGAATGATCATGTCTGACTGTTATTCAGTATTTCAACTTGACGTAGAGTCCCTGGAGATGTGGTTTCTGAGAAACATGCTTCAGATACCATGGAAAAGACATAGTGTCTAATTGAAAGGCATTTTGGGTAAGATTTTATGACGTTTACAAGACAGTTGTATGCATTCACTTGCTTTAGAATGTATGACACACTGTTATGACTTTCTATTTGGTAGTGACCATAATTTTTGTTTTCCTACAATCTAACTGGAACCTATGTATTGATAAGGTAGCTGCCGTGTTGTAGAGGTTAGATGCACCTGCTGATCTGAAGGTCGCGGTTTTTCTTCAAAAATGATCTTGGCTCCCAGGTCAACCCAGCCTGAAGTGGGTACCAGGCAAAGTCCTGGAAGGTAAAGGCGACCGGCGTGATGTTGACTCATTATCCACCGAGTGCCGATTGGTCTGTAAAATATGGGTCCAGCACCATATGCCCAATACGAGAGAAAGCGTGGAAAAGGCGTATGAACGTGGATCCTTGTCCACGGCTTTAGGCGAAATAGGTATATGGTGGTAGACCCATATTTGATAGACCAATCGGCACTGGGTGGGTGATGGGGTCAACATCACACCGGTCGCCTTTACCTTTCAGGACTTTGTCCGGTACCCACTTTAAACCCCTTCAAAAATGACATCATAAAGATCTCTAGGAAATTACAGTCGCCTCTGCCCTGACGCACGTTAGTTTAAAATTTCATTTGTAAGAATCCTTCCTTTTCTCTGTGACCGGTTTCATATCTCAGGTTATCAGTTAGTACCATGTGTTGCCTCTATGAACCGACACGTCCGCAGCCAAACTCCAATGGTTCCACAAAATTTGTCTTGAATGATTCTTATCTCTGGCGATGCGTATTCCTGTAGAGTTTGGTGTCTTCCTAGCCACACTCGACATCGCCATGAGCTGTAAGTCCCATGCCTCCTCATATCGCAATATAAGACTATAGTCTGCAAAAACGGAAAGGTACCTATGAGTGCATAAATGCTGTAGGGGCAGTTCTGCAATGTTTGCTCAGATGTCTGGAGTGTGATGTGGTGGGGACACTTGGCGGATTCTGCAGCTTTCATTCTGTGCGTTGTGCGTTAGATTTGATGTGTCTTAGTCGAAAAACCGACATCTATGAAGTATGTTGGTTGGGTCATCTGGATGTTTGCTGTTTGTTCTTTGTCTCCAGGAGTTTGCGTACTTCTTCTATTTATTATTCAAGCCATACATAACTGTCGTATACGTGGTGCCCTAAATCCTGGGGCTCACGTTCCCCTGTGTACACAGCCCCCTAAAAAGTGGTACATACAGACGAAAGTGACAGTATATTACTCTAACATTACTTATTCAAGCCATATATAACTGTCCTATAATTCCTTCAAAGATAAATGTTACGTTGAGCTTCATCTGTACAAGAAAAAAAAAACGAGGGGACATTGAGCCTCAGCTCTATGAGACACAACGAGGTGACACTGAGCTTTATCTGTTCAAGAAATAAAGAGGGCACATTGAGCCTTAGCTGTATGAGACATAACGAGGTGACATTGAACCTAAGCTGTATGAGACATAACGAGGTGACATTGAAACATAGTTGTATGAGACATTACGAGGTGTCATTGAGCCTCAGCTGCATGAGACATAACGAGATGACATTGAGCCTCAGCTGCATGAGACATAACGAGGTGACATTGAGCCTCAGCTGCATGAGACATAACGAGGTGACATTGAGCCTCAGCTGTATGAGACATAACGAGGTGACATTGAACCTAAGCTGTATGAGACATAACGAGGTGACATTGAACCTAAGCTGTATGAGACATAACGAGGTAACATTGAGCCTCAGCTGCATGAGACATAACGAGGTGACATTGAGCCTCAGCTGCATGAGACATAACGAGGTGACATTGAGCCTCAGCTGTATGAGACATAACGAGGTGACATTGAGCCTCAGCTGTATGAGACATAACGAGGTGACATTGAACCTAAGCTGTATGAGACATAACGAGGTGACAATGAGCCATAGCTGTATTAGACATAACGAGGTGACATTGAGCCTCAGCTGTATGAGACATAACGAGGTGACGTTGAACCTAAGCTGTATGAGACATAACAAGGTGACCTTGAACCTAAGCTGTATGAGACATAAGGAGGTGACAATAAGCCATAGCTGTATTAGACATAACGAGGTGACATTAAACCTAAGCTGTATGAGACATAACGAGGTTACAATGAACCTAAGCTGTATGAGATATAACGAGGTGACATTGAGCCTCAGCTGTATAAGACATAATGAAGTGACATTGAGCCATAGCAGTATTAGACATAACGAGTTGACATTGAGTCTCAGCTGTATGAGACATAACGAGGTGACATTGAGCCTTAGATGTATTAGACATAACGAGGTGACATTGAGCCTCAGCTGTATGAGACATAACGAGGTGACATTGAGCCTTAGCTGCATGAGACATAACGAGGTGACAATGAGCCATAGTTGTATTAGACATAACGAGGTGACATTGAGCCTTAGCTGCATGAGACATAACGAGGTGACATTGAGCCTTAGCTGTATGAGACAAAACTAGGTGACAATGAGCCATAGTTGTATTAGACATAACGAGGTGACATTGAGCCTTAGCTGCATGAGACATAACGAGGTGACATTGAGCCTTAGCCGCATGAGACAAAACGAGGCAACAAAGCGTTAAAAAAGGTAAAACTCACATTTTAAGTTGTCAGGCAAATATGCGTTATTTACTAGCCACACCTCCGAATGGCCACTAGGGGGAGGGAAATCTGGTTGTCGGAGGATGGCATCCATCTGGAAGAACAGATATCCTTTCTCGATGGAAGGAAAGTGGAAAACTCCAATCCCTTCTGTGGGGCTGCTTTCGTAGCCAAAGTCAAACACCTGAAGGATTGAGAGTTTGATATAAGAATGTCACCTGGGATAAAGATTCTTGTAGTCGGAATAATGCAGGCCTTAGAAACGGAAGTTAACAACCATTCTTCTTATTCTACTGCTGCTGCTGCTGTTTCTTCTTCTTCCTAATATTATTATTTTTATTATTACTATTACTATTATTATTATTATTATTATTATTCTTACTACTATTAAAAGCAGCAGCAGTAGCGATGGTGGTAGTAGTGGTAGTATTAGTAGTAGAAGTAGTAATAGCATTATCAGCATCAGTAGTAGAAGTAGTAGTTGTAGTAGTAGTAGTAGTAGTAGTAGTAGTAGTAGTAGTAGTAGTAATAGTAGTAGTAGTAGTAGTAGTAGTAGTAGTAGTAGTAGTAGTAGTAGTAGTAGTAGTAGTAGTAGTAGTATTAGTAGTAGTAGTAGTACTATTTTATAGTAGCAGCAGCAGAAATTGTAGAAGTAATGGTAGTAGTTGTAGCAGTAGTAGAGTGTCAATGGTAGCAGAAGTAGCTATAGTAAAAGTAGTAGCAGCAGCAGAAGCAGCAGCAAGAGAAGAAGAAGCAACAGTAGTAGTGGTAGTAGTTGTAGTAGTAGTAGTAGTAGTAGTAGTAGTAGTAGTATAGTAGTAGTAGTAGTAGTAGTAGTAGTTAGTAGTAGTAGTAGTGGTAGTAGTAGTAGTAGTAGTAGTAGTAGTAGTAGTAGTAGTAGTAGTAGTAGTAGTAGTAGTAGTAGTAGTAGTAGTAGTGGTGGTGGTGGTGGTGGTGGTGGTGGTAGTAGTAGTAGTAGTAGTAGTGGTGGTGGTGGTGGTAGTAGTAGTAGTAGAAGTAGTAGTAGTAGTATTAATAGTAGTAGTAGTAGTAGTAGTAGTAGTAGTAGTAGTAGTAGTAGTAGTAGTAGTAGTAGTAGTAGTAGTAGTAGTAGTAGTAGTAGTAGTAGTAGTAGTAGTAGTAGTAGTAGTAGTAGTAGTAGAAATAGTAGTAGTAGTAGTAGTGCAGTCAATCAGCTCATCTTACCTTCCTAGCCATGCCCAGAAAACGACCTCCAGTGTCCAGGGTTTTTGACTTGAGAAAAGCCTGAGCTGCCATGTTGATGTTCTCACCTTGACTACCAGTAGAGAACCGGACGAAGAGAAGGGCGCCACCATTCTACAAAAGAGCATTTCGAATTATTGAGTTCCATGCGCTCGTAGTGCGGTTTTTAAGGAAGTTAGAGAACTTCGCTCTAGAAGCTGAACATGGGAAATATCGGTCGCCATTTCCGACAGCAAACAGAATTCATATGCTGACTAAGCTTCTAACCCCTCCCCCCCCCCACTGCAATAATAACCACACCCACAAACATGTAAATACGCACACACATATAAAGGAGTATGAATGTACGTGTGTATGTGTAGACGACAAGTAAGCGACTATTCTGTTTAACTACTGAAAGTTACATTGTTACGTATGCAGCACCGAGCCAAGAGTGACCACTAAATCGTTTTCAGACTTAGAAGAGTGCTTGCTCTTGGCAAGTTCAGTTGATGAGATAAGTTTATGAGCATAAATTGTTATCTCATGCATGAGGTGGTATTCCTATCCTAAACTGATGTAGACAAGATTAGAGCGGGACCGTGACACCCAATTTCTGTTCACAAAGAAAAATGCATAGCTAGTCGATATGAGAAGACTGCTATAGGATCAATCAGCATGTCCTGTATTAAACGTCGCTCTCGCCATAGCACACCTGACAGTCTCTCTTTCTCTATCCAATTCTCGGCTTTCCTCTGAAGGAGACAAAGTTCTTTGGTCATGTGATGAGCAAAGGAGCACAGGAAATATCGTGACAACTGAAAAAATCACCGGTAGAAGAGGTAGAGGCAGACGAAAAATATGATGATCATTGGCTTAAGACGGTGACATGGAGGAATATCATCAGTGGAATTGATCTAAAACACCAAAGGCCGAGATCTGTGGAAATGTATAAACGCCTACGCCAGCTGGCAAGGCACGTGATGACGATAATGTAGAAGTGGTGAGCAAGGGAAGGCACTAGATGAAATATCCCAAGCAACTCTGCGGAAGAAAAAAACATGTCAAAGATCTGATGGTGAGCTCCCCTCTTCTCCCCAGGCCTGGCAAGTCCTGCACGACAATCAAGGAAAAGAGAACACCGGCACCGCTAGCACAAGCAGTAGTGATGACGGCACAGATGCTACTGAGTTCAGCAATATGATTAAACACATGCGTAGATACTGTGTAGAGACTGATATAGACATACACATACAAAGAAACGTAGATACATCATGCAGTGTTTTCGAGAGACACATATTGCTACATATGTGCAATGCATACACACATACACTATGGTTTAAATAACATAATTCAGGAATTAGCATTTATATCGACTAAAGTAAACATAAAATATATCAGTATACCCTATTTCCACCAAGACCGATACCATCGTGATGTCCTCCAACTCTGGGATCAGCAATGTAACCAGAACTGGCATCTCTTGAACTCCATGGCGCCTCTCTGAAAGAATGAAACCCGTCACTACTATCACACACACATAACCACTTCTGCTATTAAGCGGCGTGGGGAGCTATAATTTGCTATCTAGTCTGCGCCGGCTACCACTGGCTAATGTTTTGCCCTGAAGGCGGAAGGCGCAGAGTGTCTTTAATGTTGTCGATCCATGTTTTCGAGGCTCTTGTAAGCACATATGAGTAAAGAATACAGTGAGGCAGAAGTCAATTTCACGAGGAGCGCAAATAAAGACAGAAGCACGATGGGGCAAGGGGTTACTCCCAGATTTATTACGCCTCTTTTTAAAGAAACAATGCTCTGTCAATCAACAACATCACCGATATCATCATCATATCATCATCATCATCATCATCATTATCACGATCATCATCAGCAGCCATGTCGCAAAACCGGGGCGGTCAGTGACCGCGCTAGGACCGCAAGAAGGAGCGATAAACACCCGCTGACACAAAGTGCCACTATTCGGATGAGACTCATCCAGGTACAAGTCCCAGAATCCCCGCTCAACTGTTAGTTATTTTTAGGACCCCCGATTACAGCCGGAATTGGTGGGGGAGAAAAAGTGGGTGAGAGGGGGAGGAGGCGGGCACAATACAAAATAGAAAAAAATTGCCTACTATATTTGGATGAGGTTTTTGACAGGGACGGTCATAAATTGCCATTTCAGACCATTAACAGTCCTGTGTAGGTGCTATTGTCAGGATTATGCCTCATGTTCACAACATTCACGGGCCTGTTTACTTGCCATCTTCTTGCTCTGCTAGTATAATGTGTATAATGTATGACAACAAAATTTTAGCCAATTTCTTCTCATGAAAGCTTGAACTGTCAAGAACACCCGCTTTCAAAATAAAATAAAAATTACCATTAGAGTCAGCATTCTCTCACATAAAGAAACAACAGTAGAGTCGGCTAATTATTATCAGCTGTCGTTTTTTTCTAAAAACCATACTTGTCCCTCTCATGTAGCTGGCACTGGTGGTTTGGTTTCTTGACTTCTGGACATCTACTTTATGAGTTATGAGTTAGATATCTTCATAACACTCCGGACACATCTACTTTATGTGAGGTTCGACGCCGTGTAGATTTTCTTTGAATGAAACTTTCCTCTATGCTTCTATACAGCAGTCTGGTATCTTGGCAAAAATAGGGCAGTACAGTAGCTAGTCGTCCAACTGAGTATTTTGAAAAACTGTCTTTTCTACACCTGTATTGATCTCTATAGCTTGTCTTGGTATCTGATCAGAAGAGAAACCCTAAGGTGAACATTGTCGAGAGAATCAAAGGTGCAGGACTGGACTGTATTCATGATATCAATGCGATTGCATACGATAGAACAGAATCGATTAGTAGATGCGAACCTTATGTGACATTGAATGGCACAACTGGACAATAATTGAATCATCTTTATGGGCCCTGACAACTGGCTTAGGCGATCATGCGTCTCCGCAGATCACGATCCCTGGTTGCCTGGAACAGCTCTCTTCATGATATCCCTTCATGCCATCGTTTCAGCCCCTACAGTATCATCTCTCTTGGTCTCCCTCTACCCCTTTTCCCACTGATCTTTCCAGTTGTCACGGTGTTCTTCAATTTCTCTCTTCTCATTAAGTGGCAAAAGATAAGTGTTTGTCTCTTTCTACTGAATGAATAAGTATAATTAAAAAACCTACCTATGAGATCGAATGTCTAAACTGAATATAATGCCCTGGTAGCGCAGTGGTTAACACATTTGCCCGTCGGACTGGTGGTCATAGGTTCCACTACCCATAAATCGGGGCTGCCAGGCTGAAATGGGTATGTCTATTGTGGGTAAAACAGACGGAGTACTGACCTAGATGACCTGTATGACCTATCCCCTCCATATCCAGGCCTGTCAGTGTAAGGTGGGCCCTGTAGGACGGGGCGGTCCTGGTAGCCCGCCCACGAGGCATTATTTGTCCTATACTGTAATGATAAATAGCATACATTATAGCTATTTTTGAACAGAGGTAAATAAAGATCTCCTAGATAGTTAGTTAGTCGACCGATTATCCTCATTACACGTCGAACCACTCAGTCCATAAGTGCTCGGATTCCCCTCCTCAGTAAATCCCGCATCGTGTAGCGGCTAACGACACCAGTTCTGTGTTGATTTATTCTTCTTCTTTGGCTACCCACCTGGTGTTCTTGTTTGGCGACACCCTGTTTAACATGTTGATCTTGCAGTCTTACCATGATTGCAGATTCACAGTCCTCATTTGTTTCACGCAAACGTCTTAATTCCCTTAGAGCATTTAGTATATCAGCCTGGTCCATGGCTTGTCCGGCTTTCACAGTAGCCTTACCTGCAAGCCTATCAGCTTGCTCATTTCCTTGTGCCCCGACATGTCGAGGCAGGAAAATGAAACTAATCATTGTCATCCGTGATTTCTGTAGAGCCACAAACCATTGCCTACGCACCCAGCCTTTCACTATATTCCTTAGCATACTCATTGAATCACTGAGAAAGTATGCCCCAGCGAAAGTCTGTGTCTCTAGCCATATTACTGCTTTAGTCACAGCCATGACCTCTATTGTCAGACTACTTGTTTATTTCCGAAAAAGGGAGATAATTACCAAATTATACACGGTTTGTAAAAATATCGACATTATCTGACTTGAATACATTTTGCCATCTAACAAATATTTTGTTATCCGTGTACATTGAAACAGGATTTACAATACAATAACCCCTGGTTTAGTCGAGTCAACCTATTATAATATCAAAGCCGTCATTATCCTCGTAATCAATCTGTATTCATCGTTCCCTTATGGGATGCAATTTTTCGTTATTTGAAGTCCCACCCTAGTTGTTGCCGGGGTCCCTCATATAACTTGACGATTAAACGGGGTTTCTCCGACCTCTTTACTTGTGATCATCATCCGAATGGTGGCACTTTGTGCCACCTTGTGTTTGTTGCTCTGTGTGATGTCCTAGTAGGGTAAACTTTACTTAGTTACCTACATCATAGTGGTGAAAGAGAATGCCAAAGTCTGAGGCATTCTGAGGTTGTTTTAAAGTCCCACCCGGCTGTTGTCTGGGGCCCTAATTTAATCATCATACCTATGGGCTGAACGAGGTTTCTGTGAACTGTTCCCAGGTGATCCTTATCCGAGTGGTGGCATTTTGTGTCACCGGGTGTTTATTGCTCGCTGTGTGGTCCTATTAGGGTTGAACTTCATTTAATCATTTATCATTATCATTACCTTCTTCTCGTCCTATTGTGGGGCGCAATTTGTCTTTATTTCAAAGCCCCAACCAAAAAGTTTAAAATATAAAGTCGAGAACATCTAGTTGCAAAAGTTTTTAAAAAAAAAGTCGAGAACATCTAGTTCCAAAAGTTAAAAATATTAAGTCGAGAACATCTAGTTCCAAAAGTTAAAAATATAAAGTAGAGAACATCTTGTTCCAACAGTTTAAAATATAAAGTCGAGAACATCTAGTTTCAAAAGTTAAAAATATAAAGTCGAGAATATCTAGTTTATTGCACTAGATTTCTCATATGGGCAGGTCTCCATCAGAGGACCAGCAATATGATCTTCTCAGTTCAAGCTACGAATCAAGGAATCTGGGTAGAAATCGCTCTCATGAATCGAAATGTGCAGTCCGTGACACAAACCTACCGCCAGAGAGCTAGCCGAACGGATTAAGTTTTTGGCTATGAGCCTTTGGAAGACGGGGGTAACTTGGGTTGTCGTCTTTTGGTCCGTTTTTTGCCGTACTTCAATGTGCATGAGGGCATGACATATATTTCTTTTTTTTTCTACTTGTAAGCAAAACAGACATATAATTCTTTTTTTAACAAAGAAGACACGAATAATAGATTGCAAAATTTATTGCCTGTCATATTTTGACTATCTCGTCAGGTGCATATTAAAGTAATAATTACATAAATGATGCAAAAACGTGAATCCTTTATAACCGAAGCACAGTTTAAACAACAATCAAAACATAACTACTTGTTTTAACCAGGGCAGCCGTAAAGACAGACCTTTCTCTATACAGAGTGTTTGCTTCATTTGCTGTGACATACAAATAATTCTTCTGTTTCTTCTTAGAGTCCATGCCGCGTGGCGTTGGTAGTCATGTCTATACACAACCTTCTATCTCATGTAATTAACTCTGGCACAAATGATCCTCCATGCCATGATGGAAGACTGTTCAGAATCTGTTCTCTCGGTCTTCCTCTGCCTCTCCTCCCTTCCAACTTTCCTGCTGTCACGATGTAATCAATTTTTCTCCTTCTGATCAAATGACCGAAGAATGTAGATTGTCTCTTTCTGATGTGGACAATCAGTTCTCTTCATGAGTCAGTTTATTTCAAGACATCCTCATTACTCTTTTAATCTGTCCAGGGTATTCTCATCATTCGTCTATAAAACCACATCTACACAGCTTCCAGATAATTTTTAACTAATCTACAAACTGTCCATGATTCACTTCCATATATCAAGATAGGATTAAGAAAGATTACAAAAAATAATAGTAATAATAATTAGGGCAGAGAAAATAGCTCACTTCTCTCAGGTCCTCCTGACTGTTTCTCAGGCCTGCAAGGTGCAGCTTCGTGTCACCATCATTGTTGTTGTTGTTGTCAGGAAGGTGCAGTTGTGTGGTGTTGTAGTCTGGGGTTGGTGGGTCTTTGGGTCGTTGGACCTGCTAGCAGCAAAAACATACAGCAACATAAGAAACTATAAAAATGCATCATCATCATCATTATCATCACCACCACCACTATCACTAGCATTTCAAAAACCATCATCGTCATTTTCGTAATCAGTTTATTATTATTATTATTATTATTATTATTATTATTATTATTATTATTATTATTATTATTATTATTATTATTATTATTATTATTATTATTACAATTATTATTAATATTATTATTAGGATAAAGGTCCTTTCTCAGGACAGGGGCGCATCAGACATATGATTCTCTGTTCAGAGCTTTAGACCAAACGGCACTCGATGTGTAATGTGGTTAGTGTCCCGCCGGCCGCCTTTACTTCCCACGACTTTACCTATTATATATTTTAGGCTGGCTCAGCCTGGATGCCAGATCAATGTTTGAAAGACATGAAAATACGTCTTGAGACGGATTTGAACCCTAGACCTTCAGGATAGCACACGAGCGTCTAGAAATGAAGCCACCGCGTTTCGCATTTTTTTTTTAATTCCTAGTATTATTTTCGTTCTTTCCTTTATTTGCAGTTTCGCAACAGCAGATCCTTGAGTAAAGTGAACAAGTTTTTCATGCCCTTGAACGTTAATGGGCATATAGGGCTAAACTTATATTTTATAGATCAAACGGCACTTGGTGGGTGATGTGGTCAGCATCACGCCGGCCACCTTTACTTCCCGAATCTGTTTTTAGTACCTACTCAAGGCTGGGTCGACCTGTGAGCCGAGTCCGGCCTCCGTCATGACCTGAACCCACGACCTTCCGATCCACATGCGAGCTCTAGCCTTAGCTTCCAGTACGTCCTTTGCCAAGTTTTCAATTTTTCTGTTTTATTATTTCTCTGTGTAAACTCTCCCTGTTCGGGAGTTGATGTCTAAGATTTTTTTCCAGGTGTTACTTGATGAAATGTTCGAAATGTTCGTTACGTTCGAAATGTTCGACATCCATCCGCCCCTTTCTCGAGCTTCCTAGATATTTGCTATCAAGGAAAGATACAAACCCGAACGACAAGTATATCAGCGAGCTTCACAATATAACAAACACGAACAAAACGTGAACGTTGCGGCTATGGAGCCTTCATCAGCAGATACACAAAAAGATATTTGCTCATCATCGTGTAGCAGGTCCTTCGCAGAACGTCGCTCTTCTCACAGTCTGCCTGAAAGAAACTCGGTCTCTCGCCAGTTCTTCCGCCTCATGTACATTCATACTCAAGGAGTCACTTATATCCTGTGCCCATCTTCGTGTCGGTCAGCCCCTGCCCCTCCTTTCTGGTACCATGCCTTTTGCTATAATTGTTTCCAATCCGTCGTGGCGCTTGCTAGTGTTTAGTAAATTTACTTTTTGGTGGCAGCTCAGACTAAGAGCCATATTTTTGTTTCAACATTTGTACACCCCCCCCCCCCCCCAAGGGAAGGGGGTGGGGTTGACGAGTCTAACATAATGTGTCCGAAACACATTTCACGTAAAAAGGGTCATTGATTTCCAAAGTTTTGCTTGAAAACTGAACTGGCTTACCTCTTGGCGTTCATCCTGCCGACGCCGCTGCGGACTCCCGTATCTGGGGTCAGCCATGGCCAGGCCTCGGCCCTGTCCAGGGCGGTACAAGGGTGAGACTGGCACGTGATTAATTTGTCCAATAGTAGCCGCCAAGGAACCTTTGACACCTTGCGGCTTCTGGCTTGTCTCTGCCCCATCCACCAGCTGCGTCTGTCCCTAGACGCCAACAGAATGTCAATGGAATGTGTCAAGATAAGCGCCGCTGTTGACAGCAATATCTTTGACTCATTAGCTCTGAAACTTTTCCCTATTAAACCCTGTTGAGTTTTATTTCTCAACTCTTCCAATTACTTGTGGATATAGCACCTTCTCAGTGCTTAAAAAAGAAAATAGAGGCTTTTGAGCTCAAATGCTATAGAAAGATTCTCAGAATACCATAGACATAGAAGATAAAAAATACTGAAATTTCAACAGATCTAAACGTCAAGGAAGATTGCTTAGTAAACAGCATCTTATCTCGGAAACTGAAATATTTTGGTCACACGAAGCGCCGTGGCGAAGTGCAAACAATAAAAGCAGAACGCATGGTACCAGGAAGGAGGTTCGGAGCCGACCAAAACGAACATGGGTACAGGATATAAGTGACTTCTTGAATATAAAAGTACGCGAGGCAGGAGACCGAGTTTTTTTTAAGGCAGATCGTGATGAGAGCGATGCTCTGCATAGGACCTGCTCCCGGATGATGATAGCACCGTTCCCGTGTCAGTTCTAGGGTCCCATCACAAAATGAAATAGAGAAGGCGGGGGGTGGGGGTGGGGTGGGGGGGAGTCAACTGCCCCCTTCCAAGCTTGTCGTAAGAGTTGACTAATTACGGTTTCTTTTGAAGTTAGAGTGAATCTGCCTCAGAGGCAAGTTACCAAGAGTCAGCATGCAAATAAGCCAGATGTGTAAAACGCATGTTCGCGCATAACACATACAATGAACACAGAGTAAGGGGTAGACCACGCAAGAGATGGAGCGACGCTATCAGGAGCAACCTAACATAAATGAACACCAGCTTGTACAATGCATTGGGAAAAGCGCACAAACGAATCTTAAATCCCCCCTCTCCCCGCCTAAACAACAACACCTCGCTGAGGTAAATGGTGGACAAAAAGAAGAAGAAGAAGCACGTATTACTGAGGTTGTGGAATAAGACTAAAGTCCAGAGTTAGAAAATTGGAATTAGAAAATAATCCACTGAACAGTGATCAAGAAGAAACTTGAAGAAGGTTGGAAGGCGGGAGAACACTCACCCATACACACACTTACGCCCACATAAACACCGACACACACACCGATCTACCCCTCCCTCATTCGCACACACACTTATACGCACACAAACACTCACGTGATCACACACGCACACACACACACACACACACACACACACAAACACATATAGAGAGGAAGAAAAGTTATATCTTTATTACAAACACAACAACAAGAGAGACAGTATCCTGGTCAACAAAGAGGTACATGTATTATCAATAAAATATATGAAGAGGAGAAGAGGAAGTAAACCACTTAAATAACTGAATAACGAAAATAATAAAAATCATCATCATCAAGTAGCCGGCGCTTTGCAGACCGTCGTACTCATCACGGTCTGCTTGAAAGAAACTCGGTCTCTCACCAGCTCTGCCGCCTCATGCACTATCATGCCCAAGGAGCCGCATGAAGTGCCTATCTTTCCTGGTACCATGCCTTCTGCTATTTTTTTTCCTTCTAATTAACCGTGGCGCTTGATATGGTCAAACTTTTTTTTTCTGTTTCAGAGACAAGATGCTGTTTACCAGCCAATCTTCGCCAGAGTGATAGACTTGTGAGTTAAGATCGGCATAGCTAAAACACGAAACGCACAGCAGGCACCTCAGAGGACTTGGTAATCAACATAGAACTGGTTCAATTACCCACCAGACGCTGAGGGGAGGGTCTAAGCACCTATGGACATGTCCGAAGTGCAGTTATGATAACCCAACTAACTAACTAACTAACTAACTAACTAACTAACTAACTAACTAACTAACTAACTAACTAACTAACTAACTAACTAACTAACTAACTAACTAACCAACCAACCAACCCACCAACTAACTAACTTACTAACTAACTAACTAACTAACTAACTAACTAACTAACTAACTAACTAACTAACTAACTAACTAACTAACTAACTAACTAACTAACTAACTAACTAACTAACTAACTAACTAACTAACTAACTAACTAACTAACTAACTAACTAACTAACTAACTAACTAACTAACTAACTAACTAAATAACTAACCAACCAACTAACTAACTAACTAACTAACTAACTAACTAACTAACTAACTAACTAACTAACTAACTAACTAACTAACTAACTAACTAACTAACTAACTAACTAACTAGCTAACTAACTAATTTCCTTGATATTCAGATCTTTTAGGCTGTCCGTATGTCTTTTCTTCTTTGTCCAAGGTATTCTGAGAACCTTTCTACTGCATTTTAGTGCATAGAGCCCCCCCCCCCCCCCCTTCCCCCCACCCCCCCAAAAAAAACATTAAAAATCAAATAAAAGTAATAGTAGTAATGATCGTAGCAGTAGATAACAGTAACAGTTCATAATAATAGTAAAAAGAATAAAATTAATAATAATATTAATAATAATATTAATAATAATAATAAAACATAACCAGTAAAATAAAATAAAAAAGTAAGAGTAATGATATCACTTAGATGTAGATATTCCCCGTGTGGATTTCAGGTCCCACCCATATACCCCAGGTCCACACACACGCGCGCGCTCACACACACACAAAACCTCGCATGCACACCTACACACCTGTTCTGAAAATAAGAGAATTGGCATTACAAATATGAAGAAGTGAAAATTCAAATCTAGTTTACCTGATGATCTCTTCCGACGTCGTTTTGTCGTCCGTCACCTGTAAGATTTCTGTACCGCGGATCAGCCGCATAACTCTGGCCAGGTCGGTATAGAGGTGAGAACGGAAGGTGGTTCTCGTGTCGGATACCGTCGTTGGAGAAGCGGACGTTACTAGTCACATGGTAGCCTGGTTCATGTCTTGGGCTGTGTTCGCGAATTATGGCTTGATCCTGGGAAAGTTTGCATACAACTGACATGTTACAGTTTTAAGGATTTGCGTTTAACTAAAATGCTTTGCTGCGGAGAACACGAGTGAGGTTGTATTGTCTGGATTTTTTCCACCTGGGCCGTCTGTGTGTTGGGAAATGAACAGTCGGACAAACTGGCTATCTGTGCACAACTTGGTGGAATACTGATACATGATAAGGCAGACGTGGCTAGGGACTTGTGGGAAAGCGTGTACAGTTCGGAGGAGCAGATGGATCACCACAGTGGGGGGGGGGCTCAAAAGAAAGGCAAGACGGACGTTTAAACAGAATGCTACTGGCACCATTAGTATCGGAACTCTTTATTGGCTTCTGAAGAATGGGACGGAGCGCTTATGGGAATGCCACGAGTGCTGTAATGTTGCTTCTTGAATCAAATCAACCAGTCAATCATTAAAATTATAATACATAATATAAAATGTTAAATCACTACTAGTGTTTAGAGATTTAAAAACATACACACACACTTCTTTTGCCTCTTCCCATTTTTTGCCCCCCCCCCCTTCCCTTTCTCTCATTCTTCTCCTCCCCGTCCTTCTCAACTTCCTCAATCTTTTTTTTTCTCCACACCCTCCTCCGTCTCCACCCCCTCCTTCGCAACTCATTCTTCTGCTTCGTTACCCCCATTATAAGCGCGGTTGCCAGGTTATGTTGTACAGTTAGGCTGTGATATTTGTGCCTCTAGCTAATCTTGTCCTGTCTCAGCAAACCCTAATTGGTCATATCTTACGACATGCTTTTAGGGGGCAGTGCGTCTTTTCTTGTGTTGACACAAAAGGGCCGGAACCAACACGGAGGGTGGAGGTGGTAGGAGAATCAGAAATAAAAGGACACGGTAATGTGATCACTGCCAACTAGATAATCTAAAGCAATTTTTGGACAATTGTGCTATTCAGGAGCTAAAAAAAAAGGGACTTTAAATGAACACAAAGAAAAGAAAATTATAGTTACATCAAAGTAAGTAAAAGTAAAGTAACGGTCCCTTTTTAACGCCTTTAGGCGTATTCGGTATATCAGGCTAGATCTGTATTTTTTGTAGACCAATCGGCACTTGGTGGGTGATGCGGTCAGCATCACGCCGGCCGCCTTTACTTCCCAGGACTGCACCTGGTACCCACTCAAGGCTGGGTCGACCTGGAAGTCAGTGTCATTTTTGAAAAAATAGTCTGGCTCTGTCAAAACGCGAACCCACGACCTTCCGATCATCATGCGGGGGTCTAGCCGCCAACACCACAGCAACTCCCCAGTTACATCAAAGAGAAAGGCAGATGTGATATTGCAAATGTAATGGTAAAGATGAGAGGATCTACTGCGTTGCACTGGGTTTATCCTGTGTGTCTCAGTCTCTCTCTACAATACAGCTATCTGCCTGCTGAGCTTGTCACACAGAGCATGAGCCCCGTTGCTCTGGCGTCGATCCTCAGGAATCTCAGTAAAAAATGCACTCGTGAAGTGAACGTTGTCGCTGTGAAACAAACCCACGATCTTCAGAAAGCGAGGCAAATGGTTTGATCACTACGCCACGGAGACCCATGTGAAAATGCAATAGAACAGGAAGTACTCAAAAACAAACTAACATATACAGTGTGTGGAGGCTGTCCTTACAACATGTGGTAAATGGGTGAGAGACCTTGAAGGAAGGATAGGCAAACAAAAGTTCGCTTTCGGAAAATGATATCTTTTGAAATTTCAAAGGTTGAATTAAGAAACGACATCACAGCACTCGGAACACTCTAATAAGCGCTAAGTCCTCAACTTTAGCACCAAGCGAAGAGCTCCAATTAAGATGCAACCAGTATCTGTCTGATTGCATATTCGTCCCGTCCTTCCCCTGAGTGTGCAGCGTCCGCCAGATCACCTCGTAAATCCTCATAGCGCCATTCTCCTCAGACTCGCTGCCTCCGCACTGTTCACCCGCTTCCGAACGGACCTCACAATATCTAGCTTGTCATGCGTCAGTTCACCACCAAGTGGTGCAGAGCCGGCTAGTCTGTCTGCTGGCTCATTTCCTAACATAACATCTTGTGTGTTAGCGAATCAGCGATGTGCACATCTGGACTTGCACCTGAGACAACAGATCACGACCTCCAAGACTGTCCCGAATACAACATATCAAGGCAAAACTTGTGGCCAAGAGAAACACCAGCTGAAGCCAAACTTTACGATCGCTGACTGAATTACAAAAGACAGCGAGGCTTATACAAGAGAAAACTTAGCAGATTCAGATACACTATTTCGGGCAAACGAAAGAAGAAGAAGAATATCATTATATATATTAACAAAAAATCATTACTGGCAAATGCTATCAAAGGAAGAAAGTCAAGGGATCTAGCCAACGCTCAACATTCAAGGGAAAGGTGAGACGGATACACATTTAGACTGTTACTGGTGCCAACGGAACTGGAACTCTTCGCTTACTGTAGTAGAGCTTGTGGGAGTGTCCCGAGTGCTGGATATCGATTCTTAATTCAATATTAAACATTCAACATATCAAAGGAAGAAGATGGAGATGGCCTTGACATGTCTGCAGAAAACCTCAAGACACTTTGTCACAAGAAGCTTTATGATTGGCGGTAACAGAAATAAGAAGAGAACCACAGAAGGACACGTGGAGCGGGAAGTAGAACTGGTAATAAAGGATTGTTAAATTACATGGATACCATAGGCAGAAAATCAGCAGACATGCAGCAATGTAGATCACTTGTGAATGCCTTATGTGGCATCAGTGGCATGGAAAGGATGCAGAATATAGATGCTTTGCAAGTCTCTTTATCTTTTCTTTTATCAGCTCCCCCATTGTGTCTACTACTTACCTAATAGGTGTATGACTTCACATCTTGGAGTGGGAGACCATTAGGAGAAACAACACAGTATTTGCCTCGTTTATTCTTACTATCGTTGTCTTACACTTGGGGATTTGTAGTTCTAGTTGTCTTCTCGCATCAAGTATATTTAATTTATTTTGCATCTCATTCCGTGAGTGGGAAAGAAGAGACTTATCTTCAGCAAAGTTTAGGTCATCAAGCGGTTTTGAAGGGGTCACTGAATTCCATTTTTTCCCCGCAGTTGCTGTCTTCATAATCATACAATTCTTACACAATCCCCCGCACCACCCCCCTCCCCCACTTTTCCCATTTCTAAATCTTCTTAAAATTTTCAGGGACCAATGTTGAAAATTAATTGTAAAGTCAAAGTAACTAACAACGATAGTCTGGAATAAGCTATCCAAAGTGGAACATCGTGCAACAGCAAGAAAGAAAACTATATTCTTTACCTTTGAGATGCGAATAGAGGGACTGGAGAACACCGTGATAAATGTAGAGTTCAGAGGTAGAAGATGCCTAAGCAGACTTTGAGAAGTAATACTTGCCGGCAAGAGTGCGGGAGGGGGGAGGGGAGGAGGGAAGGCTCAGTGCACCGTTTTCCTCTGTTTCTCAGTGGGTTAGGCTATTCCCCTCCCTCAAACATGTAAAAAATGTGCTCTTTTTGAGTTTTTTTTAAACACATTTCATATGATTTCGAATATAATAATATAAGCATATGTCATGCAGCATTTGCGTAGTCCTATGATGAGGATGAGAAGGAGGATGATTTGGGCTTTATTTCTGGCGGTACTCAGTGGGGGTCAGTACCATTTTGAAGTTATCATATTCATGGCTTCTGCTATTTTATTATAGACAGACCAGAACAAGTCATTATCCTCCGCCTCAGCACAGGGCACAACCGATTACGTAACCAAATGTACACAAAATTTAAGATGGGCGTATCAGCCATGTGCACCTGTGGAAATGTGCCCCAGACAGCAGAGCATGTACTCCAGGACTGCACCGAATTAGACACATTAAGGCAAACCTTTTGGCCAGAAAGAACAACAGTGGAACTTAAACTCTATGGACCACACTGAATGAATTAACAACGACAGTGAAATTTGCACGAGAGACAAAACTGCTGATATAGACAACTTATTTCAGGCGAACTAAAGAAGAAGAAGAAGAAGAATGGCTACTGCAATATACATTTATGAAAAGTTACGGCACATTTGTTTTATACACTCGATATAGACAAGTAGTGGCCTCTTGTTTCTTGGGTGGGTGGAGGAGGGGGGGGGGGTGAGGAAGAGTGGGAGGGGGTAAATCGCCCCTGTTAGAACATTTGCAATTTGGATTACCCCTACCCCCCCCCCCCCCCGCCCCCTGAATTTTTTTTGACGCCCCTTTAGGGGCGGGTCTCAGACGGTGACATGGTAAAATGTCAACCAAAGACCGGATGCAGACACCAAAGTGTACGATTTGTGTAGATACATTAACGATGTGCTATCTCAGTTGAGGTGAGTTTCAAGAACCAACACCACAGCACTCAGGACACTCCAATAAGCGCTCCGTTTCTATCTTAGCAAACAGAAAAGAGTTCAGACTCCCATTGCACCAGCAGCAGTCTGACCTCAGGTTCCTCGTAGCTTGCCTCAAAGTGTGGAGTGTCAGCCAAATCCCGTGGTCACTTTACGTTGCATTACTCTTTTCAGACCCTGATGACCTTAGTGTGCCTCCACACTATTCACTGGTTCCCAAAGGGCTTGACAAAATTAGGCTTGTCATGCCTCAGTTTACTATCAAGTGGTCATAAACAGCCAGTCCCTCTGCCTGTTGGTTTCCCAACACACCGCTTTTCATGGAAAAAATATCCAGAGGGTACTAACTAGACCTCTGAAGTGATGCTTGCCAAAGAGATTACATTCTTCTTCTGCTTTTCTAGCACCCAGTGGAGCATAGGCCATCAACCAACTCACGTCAAGTCGTTATAACCTTTGCTATCGCATGCAGCTGTCCCCATTTCCTCATCATCTTTCTAACTTCATTCACCAGCTCCCTTCCCCGTGTGTTTTTGGGGCCTTCTTTTATTCCTATGTCCTTTTGGGTTTCAATGCAAAGACATTCTAGTTATATTGTTGTCAATGTGTGTCCTATCCAACACCAGCGTCTTTTCTTCACCTCTTGGTCACCTAGAGCTTGCTTAGTTCTTGCTAAGAGATTTTATACCATTTGTATAAGACAATTATTTACAGCTACAACAAAGAGGCAGTCATTATTCTTCGGTCATGCGATGAGAAAAGAGACATTAGAGAACATTGTGTGACTGGAAAGATCAAGGTTTGAGAAATCGAGATAGACCGAGACAAATGATGCTTGACGGCCTGAAGCAAAGACATTGAGGAATATTATCAGTTGATGCGATTCAAAACACAAGGGACCTGGGTCTACTGACAGTGGCTACGCCGCCCTGCCGGGCACACGATGATGGCCTGTTAAGAAACAAACAAGTGATGGCGTAGAATCGAACACCACTATCAACAGTGGAAATAAGCTGACGGGAGCCGCCGTAATTTAGCGGCTAGACGCTCGCCTGCGGATCCAGATGGCCTGGGTTCAAATCAGACTTTCCCTAACCCACCATCTAAAGAAATGTTTCTGTCTGCCAGGTCTATCCACCTTTTAAACTCGTTATCAGGTAGAGTTAGGGGAAGTAAAGGCGACAGGATTGATGTTGACCATATCACCCACCGAGTTCTAATTGGTCTATAAAACACAGGACTAGCCCTGTGCCCTTTACCTTACTTTACTGGCGGTTGTAACAGAGGTGGTGATGTTGATTTTGTTGATAACAGAAATGATGATGATGACGATAGTAATGATAACTATTGATAATGATGATGATGATTATGTTAATGTTGGTGATGATGATCAATATTATAGTAGTAGTAAAGATTGTGAATTACCTGACTACCATTTGCTTTATTCCATCCATCTCGTTCTCTTTCCGTTCCATTACTTACATTCCCTCTCCCGTCTGTTCGAGGTGCTTCATAATCCCTCCGAGGATCTAGGTAAGCATGTCTGGGAGCCGGCCCGAACGGGGGAGACGGGGGCACGTAATGGTCGTGGGCGATGAGGTTGTAGCTAGAACGGTTATCGTTGAGGATCTTGCCTTGCATGATGGTCGATTAGCATCGATGCTAAACCGGGATCTTGAGCACAGGAGTAGTTCCGATATACTGAGCATGTGACACAGGCATACAGTTGGTTATTTGGCTAAGTATTCTGTAGTTTAAAAAAAAAGTTTAAGTTAACAGCTAACAGTAAAAGTTTAGAGCAGAGGTTCTCAAACTTCCTAATGCTGCGACTATTTAATACAGTTCCTCGTGTTGTGGTTGGGGGGGGGGGGGGGGGGGGGGGGGGGGAGTCCCCGTGGCCGAGCGGTTGACGCTCGCTCGGATCGGAAGGTCGTGGGTTCGCTCCCAGCAAACCTTTATTTTTTCAAAAATGACCTTGGCTCCCAGGTCGACCCAGCCTTGAGTGGGTACCGGGTGAAGTCCCGGGAAGTAAAGGCGGCCGGTGTGATGCTGACCACATCACCCATCTTGTGCCGATTGGTCTATAAAAATATAGGTCTATCCCTATATGCCCTATACGCCTAAAGGCGTGGAAAAGGGTCCTTCACTTTACTCGTGTTGGGGTGACTCCTAACCATAAAATTAATTTCGTTGCTACTTCGTATCTTCAGTGAATATGTTTTCCAATGGTCTTATGCGACCCCTGTGAAAGGGTCGTTCGACCCGGTCACCCTCAAGGGATCGCGACCCATAGGTTGAGAACCCTGATTTAGAGGATCAACTTCATAATACCAGATGTTTATCCCATACGACTTGGTCCTCTCTCAAAAAATGGCTGCCAAGAGCGGCACTCAAAGCATGAACTCTTTAGCTCCTCTGACGATCCTCGACTGACGAATGCAGCCATACGAAACTGCACTTAATACTTTTTTTTTTAAACAACAGAACATCTGAGAGAAATGCGAGAGGAAGACAAAGAGAGGAATGTCTCAGTAGTGTAGCTGAAACTTGCAAAAAGACGAACAAATCCACCATCCAAGCCACCCTAGAAGCGCAAGGCCAATACAGACAATCATTACACTGGGATACAACCTGGTATCAGTGAGACGACAAAAGAAGAAGAAGAAGAGGAAGAAGAAGAAGAAGAAGAAGAAGAAGAAGAAGAAGAAGAAGAAGAAGAAGAAGAAGAAGAAGAAGAAGAAGAAGAAGAAGAAGAAGAAGAAGAAGAAGAAGAAGAAGAAGAAGAAAAAGAAGAAGAAGAAGAAGAAGAAGAAGACGATCCCCAGAGATCTCCGTAAAAATTGCGCTCGCGAAAACGAACCTACGACCTTCGTAGCGCGAGGCAAAACCTCGACCACTTCGCTACAACGACCCCTAAAACAAAACGTAACCTAATGTCTATTCATTCATTGATCGTCCTGTTGTTTCTTTATATGTCATATAGGTCTCACAGTTTCTTCTACTTTCTTTTCTATTTTTTGCAATCACTTCGATAACATGAATGGGATCTAGTCCAGCCGCTTGGCTACTCACAGTAACGTTTGCCTCAAAACAGCCGATCCATATATTACCTACTACCTAAAAATTCCGCTCCACCCGCCACCCCCTCCTGCCCCCCTCCCGCCCCCCCCCCCCAATTCGCCAAAATAATAGGCCATGTAACAGATGCAAATTTCCAGAGGGCTGAGTAATCTCGAGTTATGGCATCCGCCTCGAGTGCTAGATGTCCCTGGTTAAAACCCTGGTCTCTGGGTGTTAAGACCGGACGCCCGTGTGTATTGTTGATCACGTAAAAAAAATACCGTGGCAGTTGGAAATCGAAAAATAGTAATCTAACAGTGCTGCCCGGGCAACATTTGGAGTATACAATTTTCCAAAAATTATTTCAGGAACCTCGCCAGAGCTTCGGAGTTCGTGCACTGTGCTGAGATTCTTCAGACTCAGCCTTGAGTTAGAAGTAGGATGCAGCACTTATGGGTTAGAGCCGTGTGCAATGATGTTGATCCTTTGAATAAACATAAATGTAGCCTGCTCTTGGAGGTAATCGTTTCCTTCATCCAGTTCCGGTTTGTTCTCTGTAGGTCTCTTCGCAACATGTTTTAAATTGACGTGCATGTTATTAATTAAATAATGGCTAGGTAGGAAATCTTTTAATTTTCTTCTTCCGCGTAAGGCTTTTAATGGACGGTTGACACGCTGTTGTGTGGTCCACAGCTAGGTTTCGATTTCTGCATCTTTCGGCCTCAGTACATTCCTTTTCAACGAACTCTTCTATTGTTGAATTTTAGAACATGCTTCTTGTTAGATGACAGGGGATCTATTCGCCCCCACCCTCTTCTTCCTTCTTCTTTCTCAGCATTTTGAGCCCTTGAGGTTCATTGCTGCAGATATCACCCGCCGCCACTCATCTTTCTGTTTGGCCTCCTCTTTCCAGATGGTGACACCAAGTGTTTGCAGGTCTGTCTGGACGTTATCTCTCCATAGTCTTCTTGGTCTGCCTCGTGGTCTACGATCATTCATCTCTCTTGCGCATACAGTTTTTACTTCTCTGTCATTTGACATTCTTTTAGAAAAGCGTATGATAGTGTACATAGAAACAGTTTAGGGAATGCTACTAAGGACTTTGGAATACCAAAGAAGTTAATTACTATGACCAAACTATGGAAGACACTTGTAATATATTAGGATATAAAGGCCGAAAGCCAGACCCTTTTTAAGGGTGTACATTCTATATTCCTAATTTTTATCTTCTGTTTGCCGTAAAATTAATATCTAATCTATTGCTGATCTGTTCTGTCGGAAACCCTATCCCCCCCCCCCCCCCACCCACCCACCACCCCCACCCCACCTCACACAAATTTTGTTTTAGCTTCTGTAACTCATTCAATGAGACTAATAAATGAAATTTTCACAACTTACTCAGTATCATGCGAAGTTAAAGCCAGAGTTGTTCAACACAGATCCAAAGATCAACGAATGATCATATTAAAAAAAAAAAAAAACCTAAAAATGTTAATACTAGTTGCTAAACTAGTAACTGCACATAAACACACGCAGTCCTCCCAGTTCGGGAATTCTTGTGCAAGAAAAATGTCCCACGTAACCATGATCTACGTCATATCAGTAAACAAATCGTTTCTGGCCCGTTTGTATGGGTAACCACAACGAAGAGTACCTGCAGTTAGTTACCACACACGCGTATCAAAGTTCCTTGTAAGATCCCGTTCTATATTCGGTCAGAAATGAATGCATATTATTTTATAAAAGACATTTAAATAGGAGCGTTTATATATATATATATATATATATATATATATATATATATATATATATATATATATATATATATATATATATATATATATATATATATATATATATATATATATATATATATATACACACACGCACACACACACACACACGAGTTCTGAAGTAGAGATATGATTCGATTGTCATGTGTCTCTTTAAAGCTGTTGGCTTTCATTGCACAAAATAACAAGTGAAGTAGTCATGCGAATCGATGTGTATCTTCAGAGTCGCACCACGGCGCACTTTTCAACGACTGTTTACATAAATCGATCCTGTTATCGATATACTCTTCATTATTTTTCAATAAAATTTTTGTATTTTAAATCTGTAGAATTGTTGTTCCAGGGAATTTATGTCTATCTATTGTGGTTTTTCGACTTGGGATCGATGATTCCAGGACGAGAGTCGGCACAGAACCAATACTGAACTTAACAGATAGACAGCAGATCAAATGGTTCGGTCATGTACCAATATTGGCATCGTACAGGGCACCACAGAGAGCAGTGTTATACAGATACAGCGGGAACAGAGCCAGAGATCGACCACACAGAACATGGACCACAGAAATATCAAAGAAACTGAAATTTATTTTATACGAAGCCAACAGAAGGGCCGTTTCGGAGATCTCTTCCTGTCCTGACTCTACGTGGCATTCCAGGATTAGAGAAAAGAAGAAGAATAATAGTTTGCCATTGCTTTCTTAAAGGTCAGCTTGCGGGACCACTGTGGAAACCAACGCAAGACAAACCGCCTGTAGCCTGGATCGAACCCGGCACCCCGGCATTACGAAGCTCGTTCGCAACGCCTAAGCCACAAACGCCGATCATATATTACCTACTATCCAAATATCATTTCACATCCATATATTATAACTGTCTTTAAAATCACCTACTACTTAAGTCTTATTTCATATCTATATATATAATAGCTTGCTTTAAAATCCTATATTACCTAAATGTCATTTCTCATCGATATCTTCTTCTTCTTGTTCACCGGCTGTGAATTCCGGCGGTAAGTCGCGGTTGTACGTCCAAAATGGACTTTTGGCTTTTACCTTGACCTGAGTTTTGCGTGTACATCCGTTTTACTGGCTTATTTGTTTGCAGTTCTCGTTCCCCGCCTCTCCGGTAGATGTTCATCGATATATTTTAACAGTCTTGAAAATTAACTACTACATACATTTAATTTCACAACCACACCTACTACCTAAGTCTAATTTCATATCCATACATTATAGCTGTCTTTAAAATCCTGTGTTATATAAATATAATTTCACTTCCATACATTATAATTGTCTTTAAAATTAACAACTACATAAATATAAATTCCTCATCCAGACATTATAATTGTCTTTAAAATCAACTACTACTTAAATATCATTTCTATTTTTTTCTAGATCCAAAGAACAGCTAAAATTACACAGCAGAATATAGATTCCATATGCTAACATTTCTACTTACAGAATCACAGAAGCAAAAGGGCTGACTGCATGAAAACAACATTCACTATAGAAATGTTATCGTCTCCAATATTTCCTGATTGATAGCTTTTATTGATCCCTATCGACCTCTCAAGTGAATGTACACAAAGGGCCTATTGTGTGCACACACCGCCTGCGCTAACACCCACTCCTGAATCGTTCTTGTCACTCTTTATTACTAGCAATATCAGTAATCTATGACAGATTTGAAAGAGTTCGTTAAGTCTCTTAATTTCTTCCTCCTTCGCCTTCCACTCATGCCCCCCCCCCCCTTCCCCAAAGGATCACAGATTAGGCACGCAGAGACGTC